CGCCAGGCGAGGCTGCGGCCGAGCTATTGTTTTCCCTTCCTGCTTGTTTTTCCGGACAACCCTCCCCTAATTAAATAAAAACACCCGTCGGAGAAGCGAACAAACCCCACCCCGGCACAGTCCCGTGCCGTGGGAGGGCGAAGTGCCCACAGGAGAGATCTCCGGGGAGGGGGGCGATGGGCAAGCAGAACGGTGAAGGTATGTGTTTTACCCCACTTCCAGGTTTCCGTGCATGGCCATGGTCCAAAACTGGGTGCTTTTGGGGCTTTTGGGGATATATATGGTCTGGGCAGTGCTGTTGGTTCAGGGGCGGCTTCATCCCGCTGCGTCCTGACTTTGGGAGTCATGGGAAGATGTGAGCAGCTCATCACCCTTAAAAACCCAAACCTATATGGCCTCTAAAATAGAGAAAAGGCTGAAGGTCTCAGCCGTGGGTCTTGAAAGCAGAAGGCAAATTATAGGAGCTTGAGGATTAAAACCCAAAGTGCGGGATTCTTTGGGATTTCTAGCGTTACGCTTTCGTATCATTTGAATTAATCTGTAAAAATAGGGTTTTAACGCCCTTTCTTTCTTTAGCAAGAGTCAAGTTGTGGCATTAAATAGTTTCAACCAAGTTCTTTCTCCCCACAACGCAGCGGCGTTCCAACTGGGAATAGGACGTGGGTGGGTTTTTTTTTTTTTCCTAGAGGAGATAAATGCAAACATCGTATTCAGCTACTTATTAAAGCGGTTTTCCTTAATGCAATTTAATGCCGAAGGTCAGCGGTGAACGTTTCGGTGGTTGCCAATGGTAGGGGAAAACAGATTGCTGTTTTTCGTGGCTTGAAAAATTTTAAGGAAATCCCCAAATTTTGTGCCTGACAGAATCTGGTTTGCGGACAGCGGGTCTAACTGCTCTGCCTGGAGCGAACTGGGAGCTTGTGGCTGCCTAAATGTGCTTTTTATGCCCCAAAAACCCTGTCCTTGGGCTAATACAGGAGAGGTACTCGTGGTCCTCGGTGCTCCGGTGATGAGGGTGAGAGATGTGGCTATAGAGAGGCTGGTGGATGCCAGAGATGGTCTTCTGAAGGGCTGCAGATTTGGGTATTTAAATATATCCAGGATGACCTGACCTACTGGTCCCTCGGAGGGTTTTAGTGCTGCAGGAGCATTTTAGGGATCTGGCTCTTAATACCTGCTAAGATAAATAGCGTTTTATCGTAGCACAGCGATTGAAACCCAGCAGCAGCCTCTTCTCGAGGGAGGTGATCGGGTGTTGGCGTGGGAAACTGAGGCACGGTGGGGGATGCGGGTGGGAGCGGGGCTGTGCTTGGGCTCCGTCTCCTATAGCAGGATTTTTGGTGGATTCTTCAGGGAGAGGCTACCCCAGTCCA